AACCCCGGCCCGCGCCGCCGGAGACCACCAGGGCCCGACTTCAAGGGCCCCCAGTTCCCTAACCCCCATCCGTGAACCGAAGCCTCGAAGCCCCTAAGCCTGACCCTTGACCCTCGCCCCGGAAGTCAGGGTGACTAGGAAGTTCCGGCTGGATCCCTAGGCGACCGGCTGGCCCGACCTAGGGGGCGGGGCTTCTAGCCTGGGCAGGTTGGCACGGCAGGTGAGGCAGGCAGGTGAGGCTGGCGAGGCGGTGCCAAACCGGGGCAGGGCTGGGCCTGGGGACCCAGTACACACGGGGCACCCCCTCAACACACGGAGTCACGCCTTACACCCAGCCTTCTTCCACCAATCACCCCACTCTCACCCACTCCATGTACTTGGGACCGCATAGGCCCTCCTGGGAGCCCCCCACAACCTCCCATACCTGCACACTCAGACACATAGGGGACATACACACAAGGGAGCCTGGGGTAATTTAATCTCATGCACCCTAACCCCACAAGCACAGGAGACCCCCATTGACACAGAATCCTACAGGTACACATGCCTCTTCTCAGCGTGACCACCTACCACACCTTGGCTACACAAATAGAGGACGCCAAATGTAAACAGGGGACTTCGTGCCCATTGACCCTGCATGCATGAACATGTACTCTGAAAGCACATGTTGGGACCCCTCACATGTTGGGACATGTATACCTAGAGTTCCTTTCACACCCAGACCCTGCACGCACCACTCCCCACACAGAGACCTCATTCACACATCAACCCCCCCCCACACCACCCCTAGTTTGTAAATGCAAGCCCTAATTGCCCCTGGGTGCCCCAGTCTGCCTACGTTCCCCTCAGGCCCCCGCTGGCAACCCCTTCTCATTAGGCCCTGCTCTGTGTTCAGCCATCCCAAGTCAGCTCTTGCCCGCCACTCCTACACCAAGTGCTCAGTCCCTGCCACCCTGCCTGAGTCTTTTCTCCCAGCCAGCCTTGGTCACCTCCTGTTCCTTGTCCCTCTCAACCATTTTTGTCCTAGCGCCAGGGTCACTCCCCATTTTATTAAGTTGTTCCCCACTCAGCAACACCGCACAGGTGTGGGATCAGAGCAGCGCTGGGGCAATTACATAGCATAGGCCTCCTGTGCAGTGGGGGAAGTGGGAAGCTCCGGGAGGACCCTTACTCTCCCTGCAGCAGGTAGGGGAGGCCTCTCAGGAGAAATGAACTTGGGTGAGCCTGGTGGACGAGGGAGAAGGGTACTGCTTCCAGGATCTGACCACAGCACCTGTTGAGGCCAGGATAAGAGATCTGTGGAGGGAGAGGGGTCAGGCTCTGGAGCATCACCACAGGCACAAAGACTGCACAGCACAGTTCTGCTCAGACAAGTCCATCAGATCCAGCTGTCCAGCTGGTGGCCTGGTGTTTGAGCAGGAAGATGGGTGCTGAACATTAGACTCTGGGGCCCCAAACGACAAGCTAAAGGAGGGGTAGAGGGGGCAGGCATGTGAGGGTGAAGGGACATGGTCTTGTCATGCATTCCTGAGGAAGCTGCTTCGGCAGATGGGTGGACCAGGCAGGTGGCTAGGAAGTATCTGGGGGAGCCTTAAGTTCTTACTGTCTGCCCAGCTTACGGTGGTGTACAGTGCTGTTCCCCACTGCCCCTGCCCTGTTCCAGGAGAATGAACACTAAGATGGGCGGAACCAAAGAGGCATCAGGGAAGTGGCAGACATCCCTCTCTGGGTCCAAACGAAGAGCTGCTGCTGGTGAGTGCACCCTGACCTCCAGAGCACCGCCACCCAAACCCTGACTTGTGAGACCCTCTGCAGCTCCCTGGGACCCACCATCTGAGAATGGCTATCCCCCCAAGAGTGGGCTTCAGGGGATTTCTGTTGACTTGCATGTAACAGACTGAGGGTGCAGAGCTCAGATGTCTGCAGCAGCCCTTGGTCCTGAGCCTTGTAGCTTTGGGGCTGGGCACAGTGCTCAGATAAACGCAGCTTTAGAGCCATGGAGGTGGGAAGGGAGCAGGAGCCAGTGGAGCGAGCTCTGCTGGCCAAAAATGATCTTGAAAAAGAGCAGGGCTTGATTCCAACTTGGGAAATCTCAGGTAAGGACTGCATGTGGTCTGCTGTAACTCTGCTCCATTCCCTTGACTGCTGCTTCAGTCTCAGACCACCTTCCCATAGCCGCTTCCAGTTGAATGGTGACAGCTCACCTAGACTGGGTCCTACTGACGGTCAGTCGGGAAGGGGACCTCCCCTGTGTCCACCCACTTCCGGCAGCTATCCCACCCCCATCCCCTGAGTCCCATTTGCTTTCTGTCATAGCTGCAAACACTTCCCAGGCTGGACCTCTATGGCCCTTTGCATCCCTTGCATCCCACCGTGGCCTGCCTGGGGTTTGTGCTTGCTGAGAGAATACCGCCCCCCCCAGTCTCAGACACACCCTTGCAGCTTGAGGTGGGCCTGGCCCCAGCCCCTGGACCCCAGAGTTCCTAGGTTCCCAGAAGCTAGTGGGGTAGTGGTGACTCTTCCTCATCAAGCCAGGGTTAGATCCTGGTTGCCCAAAATAGCCCCAGCAGCGTCTGAGGCTGGCACTCCTTCAGGAAGTAGGATAATGGGCACAGGCACCGCGTGCTGCCTCCATGATCTCAAGTCTGGTCCTGCATTGCCGTAAACAGGGGGCAGGGCAGTCAACAAGAAGCTGGCCAGGAACTAGGGGGGTGTTCCTCAGTTCTACTGGTTCCATTGTGTACACCCAGACCCTCCCCCCGTGCCTCAGCCTGCACACTGGCTGCCAGCTGTCTGGGGCCGGGATGCCTGGGTACTCTGTAGGAACATGTCTGTCCCCAAACAAGAGCCCTCCCTCAGTGACCTTTGTCCACCAAGCATTGAATGGCTTGGGAAGGCCTGCTATCCTTGGTCTTGGCAGTGCCTTACGTGGTGGGCACCAGCCCCCATTGGCAAATGTGAACATTTGCCAAAGCAGCCAAAGCAGCCTGGCATCTGTAAGATGCTCAAGTGGCCACCTCACCAACAGACTGGCCCGAGCCCCTCCCATCCTTCCCAGGCCTTACCTGGCCTTGGGTCTGCAGTGCCTCGAGGCCCTCACTCCGGAGCTGCTCCAGGGCCATAGCCAGCTGCAGCCCCTCCATGTGCACCCAGGCCTGCTCTTCCTGTAGCTGCTGCAGCCACAGTTGCTCCTCCTGTAGCTGCTGCAACCACACTTGCTCCTCCTGCCATAGCTGCATCTGTAGCTGGACCTGCCGCCTTCGGTCCTCCAGCAGCAGCTGCTCTTGGGCCAGGCACAGCTGGACATTATGGAGCCTCAGTAGTTCAGGGCCCAGGGCCAGTGCTGGGCCTGTAGCTCCACAGCCCTCCATGTGCTGGGGCAGAGCCAGCACCAGCTCAGACCCTGAAGCAGCGGCCTGCACTGGCTGCTCTGGTCCGGCTGTCCTGGGGTGTCCCTGGGGAGCCAGCTGGGTGCTGGTCACGTGCCCTATCTGGGCCACCCCCACCTGGTCCCACGGGCCCCCTGTGGCAGGGGGCGGAGGGCTGGCCTCAGGGCCCTGTTGCCCCACTTCCCGCTGGGCCCGGCCCGCCCTCCTGCCTCGAGATTTGCGAGCTCTACGTTTCCCAGACATGGCCCTAGCTCCGGCACCTCTTTCACCAGATGTCTGTTCCCCAGGGCCTGGCTCATCAACGGGCGCCTCAGTCAGGTGGTTCAGACGGCATCCAAGAGGCCACAGTGGGCCCCCCTCCCCACTACACTTGCCCTCTGCTCCTTCGTCCCAGGAGCCTGCCCTGCCCCTCAGCCCCTCAGCTGCGCAGCAGCACTTCGGCTCTGGCTCTGTCTGTGGGCCTTTCGGGGCCCCACTCAGCTGGGCCAGATCGCGATGGGAAGTTTATAGGGACTCGGCAGCGTGGCAGCTCAGCCAGGCCCAAAAGGCTGACTAACCTGCTGACACAGGGTGCAGGACTTTACAGGCCACAGGCCTTGCTGGCCAGACAGGGAGGGAGACAGGGAAACTGGAGGCGGCTCTCAGTCGCTAGATGTGGTGCAGGATGACGTGCCTGGTCCTGCCTGGGCGGCACTGAGGCCCCCCACCCCCTCCTCGGCTCCACCCCTGGTCGCGGGAAATTCAAACCGTGGCCACCACTGGGCCAGGAGCTGCATCCTGGCTGCACTGACCCTCCGGACCCAGACATTAGATGGCCACGAAGCCCCCAGCCCACCCTGAGCAATTCCTCAGGCCCAGACCCAGACACCCTGGAGCCCTGAGCTTGTCTTGAGTTTGCCCTCGTAGAAAGCCTACACAGTGGTCTCTGGCCATACTGTGGCCTGTTGAAGACTGGGCCTTTGAAGGCCTAGACGGCATGTTAAGGACTGAGATGGGCAGGAAGAATCTAGCCTGTTCCTGAGTGTGGACGCACCGGCTGACATTCTGGTTGGGACCCAGCAACTTCCCCTTTCCCAGACAAGGCCTAAGGAGCCCTCATCTGGCCTGCCTTTGAGTTCTCCAGGTGGGGGTGAGGGTCCAGGACCAGCTTCAACATTGGGGTTCCCCTGGCTTCCTGTTGGGAGGGTGGGGCTTCAACAGGCCTCCTCCCCAGCATTTTCCCAGCCCCGGGCCGCTGACTCACACCCAAGCCCAGGGCCCCTCACTGGCTGGACTGGTTTGCCTGGCCCGGCCCAACCCAGTGCACACCCCCTTGTCCAGAAGCCTTCAGAGTAGATGGAGAGCACTTGCCCTGGGAATGCTGTACTGGACAGAGCTGGGAGGGACAGGAGGACCAAAGGCCACTGGTCTGGGTGGGGTCAGGTGGGCAGGATGGGGCAAGGGGAGCCAGTACAGTCCTTCCTGGGGCTGCAACATGCCTACCCCTGGTCTCACAGGCCTGAGCTCTGAGTTCCAAGTACAGGGGCAGTTCTCCCTGCTGGCCCTCAGGGTCACCGGGGGCAGGGTGGTATTTGTTGGAGGACGCCTCCAGGCTGCTCATTAAAGCTGTCTCGAGCTTGCCCCACTAGGAGGCTGTGTATAGGAGCTCCCTGCTGCTGTCCCACAAATGTCCTATAAATTCCTCCTGAGGTTGGGGTGGGGGTGTTTCATACCCTAACTTCCCTGACGGCAGCTTTCCTCAGGGAAGCCCGGTGGGAACCGCCAGCTGCAGAGGAAGACTGGCCAGCAGGCGAGGGGCCCTGCGAACCCTGAGCGCCCAGAAGCTCCTACAGGTGAGCGTGTCCCCATGGGAACGGGGCTGTCCTAAACCAGCCACGCATGATGTGCGCGAACGGGCGCTTACCTATGCAGTTGTGTGAATGCACAGGCTTGTAAGCGCGTGCGTGCACACACGTAGGTACGCGCGCGCACGCTGGGAGCCGGCCCGCGGCACGCCCTCCGTTGTGAGCCCCTCCCGGCGTCGGCAAAGTTGCGGACTCTCACCGCTCTCACTGCCCCACCTTCGAGTGCCGCCTGCCCGTCGGAAACACCCTGTCCCTCGGTGCCTCCCGCCCTTGGGGTGGGCGGGGGCGGCCTCCTCCATCTCGTGAGTGTCGCCCTCGGGTGGCAGGGAAGAGTGCAGACTGCCGCGGGGACTCGCTGAGCCCTGGGACAGGTCCCGGGCCTTCCTTCCCGCCTCCAACCGGCTCTGTGCTCTATTTCCTCCAGGGCACACCTTCAGTTCAGACCTCCCTTTGTATTCCAATTCCGAATTCAGTGGCCGCCGAGCCTGCTCCTGGGTGTCCAGATGCCCACCAGCAGATCTGAACCAAATTGCTGGACGACTCCCAGGGCCCTGGCCCAACTAGCTCAGTGGGTTCTTTCCCCTCTCCCTTCTCTGGGTTCCAGGTCTCACCTCTCACCTGGCAGTTCCAGCTGGGCGCACTTGCCACAGCCTCCCACTTGCCTTCCTAGTCTGAGTTACTGGAGCAGCCAGAGGCGGCAGGCTTCACGGGGCGGGGGGTGGGGTGGGGTCCTGCCTTCCCCATCTGGTACCACTGTCGCCTGTCCCCTCCTCCCAGCTCCAGATTAAGGAAGCTGATCATTGTCTGGAGGACAGGGCTGGCCACAGAAGGGTCTGTGAAGTACTGATGGTTATTTTATAATAGTTGTACATGCTTGGTGGACTGAGCTGGATTATGGGTAATGCACAGTGAAGCAGATCCTGTGACATTTAACAGACAGGCTGTGTGGGGAGGCTGTCCTGGTGCCGGAGATTGGCTTGGAGAAGGAGGCAGGAGCACATGCCAAGCTGGCCCCAGGCTGCTGTGCTCAGGGGAGACCAGCACCACTGTGTCTCACTCTTAAATCCTGCCTAATCCTTACATTGACCCTGTGAAATAGCCAGTGGTGGGGCCTGCTTTTGGGGAGCCAGGGGAGAGAGACTCAGATATCCCCCATCTGGCTCTGTCTTGGGAAGTGGGCCTCACAAGATAGTGTCCCCAGTCTTCACAAAAGCCAGGTGCTTGTGAAGACCTGGGGTAGAATGCCGGGCGTGGTGGTGCACGCCTGTAATCCCAGCACTTGGGAGGCTGAGGCAGGAGGATCGTTGTGAGTTCGAGACCAGCCCGGGCTACAAAGTGAGCTCAAGGCCAGCCTGAACTGCATAGCGAGACCCTGTCTCAAAAAGACAAAAACAAAACAAAACAAAACAAAACAAAACCTGGGGTAGAAAGCGACTGTTGGCCCTGGCCCTGCTGGCCACCTTTTGTGGCTACAGGTGGGTTCCAGTTTGGGAGCACTGCTGGGGTGCTGGGACAGCAGGCACAGCTGGCAGGAAGGGACCTATAAGCCTGGAGGATGTCCATTTCAGCGAGTATGGTGGCCTCTTGACGTGGAAAGTGCCAAGTGGAACTGCTGTGTGCAGGTGCAGCTTCGGGGATGGGCGCAGGGAACACTCCATCCTGTGGGCTACTCGCTGGCTTCTTTGGGGAAGGGTCGCTGGGAGTCCATCGCACAGACCGTTGTCACCCTCTGGGCTGTTCCAGGAGGCCACAGGGAGCTTGCTTCTTCTACCTCTCTGTTGCTGCCTGCAAGCCTGTTCTTTCCAACTTTCTGGTTATCTGCTGAGCCACTAGCTAGAGCTGATGAATTGATCATTGTTGGTTCCACAGGGACAGTGTCTTGTTTGGATGGGTCTCCAAAGGAGGATGCTGGCTAACATCCAAAGGACGGTTACGAGGTCCACTGTTTGTCCTGTAACCCTCAGTGGGTGCCCCTCCCCCACAAGGCCATTTCCCCAACGTGTTGATTGACTAAGGGCCAAGCCCAGTCCATTTCCTTCACCATCTACTGCCCCTACAGGTGTCAGTGTCAGAGAGAGAAGTCACTGGGCCATGGACTTTGCTTAGGCCCTCACTTGCCACTCATGCCTTTTCTGTCCTCTGTCCTGTGCCCTGCTGCTGAGGGCTGATGCCGGAGTCCCGGAGCCACAAGCTGGCTTGTAAGGGGACCTGCAGCCTGCTAGAAGCCTTTTTTTTCTGCCATGGGCCACATTCCTTGCTCTGGAACTTCCAAGAACTCTCTAGCCCATAGGCACCCTTCTGCCCTTCGCGTGAAGTCCCAGCAGCCCCATAGGCCTCAGCAACACCTCAGTGGCGCTGGAAAGCTACCAGGCCTCTCAGTGAGTGGGCCGGAGCCGCCCCTCAGATAGGGGATGGCAGTGGAGATGGCGTGCACCTCTCACGTTGCTTTCCTGCTGGACAGAGGCTCCAGCTGCAGTGATCTCTCTCTCATAGGACGCTGGGGTGGCCTCAGCCCTATGGAGCCCTAAAGTCTTCTCCCTGGCCCATCAAGTGTACAGATGATGAAGGTTCCTTGCTTGTCTCCTCGTTCTGTAGCAGTAGTTGCCACAAACCTAGGGTCTTAGGACAGCTCACATGTACTGGGGATCGATCCTGTGACTTAGCAGCCCAACCTGGACCTCACAATCAAGGTGGTGACAAAGTTGTATTCCTTCCTGAAGGGCCAATCTATTTTCCTGCCCTTTTTAGCTTCTGGACCCACACCCCTGGCTTGAGGTCCCTTCCTCCTCCTTTTTGAGACAAGGTCTCACTCTGCAGTTCAGGCTGGCCTTGAACTCATCTTGTAGCACAGGCTTGTCTCCAATGTTCAGTGATCCTCCTGCCTCAGCCTCCTGAGTGCTGGGATTACAGGCATGTGCCACCATGCCTGGTGTGAGGCCCCTTTCTTGATCTTCAGTCAGTAATTGTACCTTTTTTTCTTTTTTTGTACCAGGAATCAAACTCAGGACCTCCAGCTTGCCAGGCAGATTCTGCGCTGAGCTATATCCCTGGCCCAAATGTATCTTTCTCAATCCCCTCCCTTTGCCTCTCCTATTCTGCCTCCCTCTTCCCCTTTTCCACCTTATGACATTGGATCTACCTGGATAATGTAGCATCATCTCCCTATTTTAAGGGCAGCTGATTAGCAACTTTAATTCATTTGCAACCTGAAGCCCCTCCCACCAGCCACATACCCTAACATGTTCAGAGGTTCCAGAGAACAAGACGTGGACATCGTTGGGGGATCACAACATAGGGTCAGAGAGTAACCCTAGCCCCTGGGAGGAGAGTGAAGGTAACCAGCTGTCTTTGTCCCATGAAGGTGAGCTGCATTTGCTCCTTCCCAGGGATGAAGAATAGAGGGAAGCATTTGCTGCCTGGGCAGGTGCTACCAATTGCAGGGGCATTCCGTGGGCACCAGTGAAGAGGCTGCTGCAGGCAGGGGAATTGCTGGTTCCCTACCTGTTCCACTGCAGTCATCCATCGTCTTCCACCATTGCTAATTTGTGTTTGCAAAGGCCAGACAGGTGAATTCACAGAGAGGTAATGGAGCCCACTCCTGCTTCCCTTGCCTTTGATGTTGATATTGATCTCTATATTCCTCCAGGAAAACACTATTTCTAGCTGGTTCACTCTCTTGGTGGAGGGAAGCAGTTTCAAGGATGCCCCCTTGACTCTTCCTTCCATAATGATCGTTACTCCACTGGCCAAAGCGCCCAGTGTCCTGCTGGCAGCGAAGTCTGTGTATCCTGATACATGGGGCAGACCCATAACCCCCATCAGATCTATTGGCGATGGACTGCCTGCTGGCCTGCACTGTATAAACAGAACCATGAGACCTGCCACCCAACTGAATCCACTTATTAGTCCTAACAGGTTTTGGGGTACATATTTAGGGTTTTCCATTAATAAAATCATATCATCTCTAAACAGAGACAGTTTTACTTCTTCCTTTCCAATTTGAATGCCTTTTATTTCTTTTTCTTGCCTGATTGCTCTGGCAGGGACCTCCAGATCTGCGTTAAGTAGAAGAGATGAAAGCAGGCATTCCTTTTCTTAACCTTAAAGGAAAATTTTCAGTCTTTCACTATGGGTATAATGTTCACAGTGGGGTTTTCATACGTGCCTTTTATTGGATCGAGATTTCTTTCTGTTTCCAGTTTGCTGCCTATTTCTGTCATAAAAAGTTGAAGCATTTTGTCAGATTTTTTTTGTTGAAGCTTTTTCTACATCAGTTGAGATGTTCATGTGGGTTTCCCTCACAGTCTCTTAATATGATTAATGTAACATATCACACTGGTTAATTTTCATATGCTGAGCCATCCTTGTACTCCAGAAATAAACCTTGCTTCACCATGGTGTATAACCCTGGCAGTATGCTACCGAACTCAGCTGGCTAGTATTTCCCTGAGGATTTCTGCATCGGTATTGATCTGTACTTTCCTTAGGGCGTCTTTGGCTTCTGTATCAGCTAATGTTGTTCACGTAGCACGAATTAGGAAGGGTCCCTTACTCTTCAACTTAGTAGAAAGGTTGAGAAGGATTGGTATTGCTTCTTATGTGTCACATAGAATTCTCCAGGGAAGAGTTCATATCCAGGATTTATTTGTTGGGAGATTTATTGCTGAAATAATCTTACTAGTTACAGGTCTACTCACACTTTTTTATTTCTTTGTGATTGAGTTTCTTTCGAATTTGTGTTTCTATGAATTTTTCCATTTCTTTTAGGTTGTATAAGTCATTGATGCACAATTGTTCATAGTACTATGTATTATGGTCCTTTCTATTTCTGTAAAATCAGTGCTATCCCCACTTTCATTTCTGATCCTAGGGCTGGGGATATAGCTCAATGACAGAAGCACCTGCCCGGCAAGCACAAGGTTCTGGATTCGATTCACGGTACCAAAAAAAAAAAGTCAGGCCTCATTTCTGACCTTAGTAATTTGTAT